CAATCGGTATCAATTGATGTCATGTTTAGGACCAGACGTAAAATAGGAAGTGTTCGCAAAATATCAAGCGTCATATCTCTAATGTTTTGTTAGAGTAATAAAATTCAACAATCACCCATGTGCACTCTGTGGATAGAGTGAACAACGAAAAAATTCTTTCAAAATTTTGCACGAGGGAAAAACGGATTTGATTTCGAAAGCACCGCTTAAAAACACAGATGGTTGTCTGCGGAGAGAGTTTTGAGCCTCTGTGTGCTCTGTGACCGGCCGACAACCACCAATGACCACTGGTGTGTAACGGATAGCATATCATGTCACATTGGCCGTTGTTCTGATGAACATTGCATGCTGTGTTCTGACCCTCTTCATGCCTGCCCAAATGTGAGTCCAGAAAACGCAAAAGGTGCTTGAAAACTCGACCGCAAAGAGGGCGGCCTATGATGCTGACTTGACCGAAGCACAGAATTCCACCACTATATGTCCCGGAGGTGTGCTTTTGTCCGTATTTTCAGGTCCAAGGAGGAACTACCCGACAGCCGTGAGTAATTGTCTGACTACTTTGAGTAACGCTGCAGCGTGCCAGCTAGATGAGAGAGCCGGAGATCATTTCCTGTGACCCATCAGCTACAAAAGGTTCGTCTGGTAATGAGAACTCATGTGTTTCATGTAAGTCCTGTATTTCTTGAGGGACGCGGTAAGTAGGCATGCGAAATAGCCGCCGAAGATGGTGTTGGGTAAATGTTGTGATCGCTGAGGTGCTCCCATTTTATTGTAGGCATTCCTCTCGGTTTGTCGGTTGCCTGCCTCACGGTATTATCGGTTACCCAAATCATTTCTCCCTCATTTCATGACGTCAAAACCCCAATGAACGTTCCGCACGAAGAAGGTTATGCGCTTCTAGGTGGGACATATGCACTCATCAAAGCGGTCAATACAACTCAGCACTGTATGTGGCCCATTGTGGACCCCTTCGTCGGTAGAGAGGGATGGATCGACGTAGGTTCCATGTGCCTAGTTGATTAGGCATTGTGTACCCTGGGTGCATGTTAGTCGTGCGCGTCAGGTGTATTTGTTAATCGAGTGACAAGCATAGCTGACGCACCATGACGTCGATTGACGCCAGAGTTCTCCATTTCAAAGGGCTAAGAGTAACAGGCTTTCTGATACAGTCCCTGGAAGTTGCAGGGTAGTCCACGGCTTAAGACATAAGTAGTTAGCTGTTCATCAAATTTCACACTAAACCAAGAAGTCCGTTAATTGATGAAAGTTGCCTGAGAAGACCGCGGTTGCTTTCACAATGGAGCAGTGGGAACATAGCTGACGAGCAAAACCAATATGCAGATAGGGGTTCGCGGTGCACTTCATGCTGTCTGCGTTACTCCTAGAAGGAAATGAAACGAACCTAGCTAACCTACGCGGCTAACACCGAAATGGAAAATTTAATAGTGCCACTTGGACGAGATAGAAAGTTGACTTTTATTGACCATTTCATATAGTTTGGCAAGAGAGCAACTTTCTTGTTGTGTATTTTTCACGAACTATTGGCTTTCCACAATGCAGCCCTTCAGCCTGCCGCTTCCACTTCATATCTCGGCTGCACCATTCGCAAAACGCGCTGTCCCACTCAAAGCCTGAGGACTAGGAAGGGCTATAGCATTAAAAAACTCTACACTTGTGTTTTGTATATATGTGCCCAAAACAGTTCAAGTTTTCTCAGTGTTCTCCAGGATACCAATTATCATCTGATCGGTTCGGTAAGATAATGACACGCGTAGTACAAAAGGGAAAACACTTGACAGGAAAAGTCCATAAGTACAAAAATACGATGGAAATATAGGTGTATATAAATAAATTCTCTTATAGGGTGTTGGATTTAGCTGAAACACCTCGAAGGTTAAAAAGATATACCGTTGTTTCGAGCACTTTGTAAATCTTGGATTGCTTGTGTTAGAAAAATTGCAAAAAAGCATAAGAAACCTCTCTCGAAAGGAAAGAAAGATTAATGCTGATAAAGGATTTCATAGCGGGACGCGTGGTTTTGGACTGTATGCTTGCCCAATAAAAAGTTACTTAGTATTCTGTCGAAGCTGTGGATCTCACTTCACGGTGACTGATACCAGATTCATGGAAGGTTAAAAAACTGCACGGTTACAAAACACCCTTTGAACAGAGCGGTAATATTCATACTAAGCATGCTAACTTTAGTAAACAGGTGCGCGTTGAATAAAAGTATCTGCCTTGATTTTGCTTATTATGGTGTACTATTTTGATCCTCAACAAGTCTACCTTTTTTGCTAACTTTTTGTGCAGCCATATCGTACCTCTTTGGTCTGAAAGTGAGAGGTATTTACGGGCCTCCTAGGCCTTTATAGTGTGGTGTTTTGCGCTTTCCTTTTGCTTCCATTATAGCATTACGTGTTTCGTTAATTGCATAAATATTTGAATACGAAAACTATAAAAACGCGCTCTTCTACACAATACAAACATAGTCACGTGCTTCGACTATGTTTTCTGATTTCACTCACACTTGCGGCGGTCATTCACATGTTTTATGTACTCACTATGGTATCAAAACCCTCCTGACTATCTTCGGATTTTCTTATATATGAGAATCGTTTGGAAGAAGAACTTCGCTAACCTAAGCCAACTTCAAACTATTTTGGAGAGAAAAATTCTTAATTAGCCCGTCCCTCTCCTTATTATTGTATACTTAATGTTGCATTATTATTTTAATTTCTTTGTTGCACACTCCCAGAAATGTATCTTTTAAGGTAGCCAGATTATTACAACACAAGTTTTTCGTCGGAATAATGATGACTTTACCGCGGCAGCATTGGTCTTTGTGTCCTTGTTGTTGACTCCCTAATGCTATGCTCCATCTCCTTTGTGTATTCTCATTTGAAATTTACCTATACGCTATGGTTTATCCTCAACTTGAGGGACAAGATGAGCTTCCCTTTGCCCTTATTCATCGCTCTCCGTCGTTGCCTCTCAAAGATGGTTATCTTACCTCCTCCACCCACAACCAGACCTGAACCACTGATACTTCTCAAGATTGGAGCGATTCAACAAGCAATCGGGACCTTCAATCAGCTCCAATCTTCGAGTACTTCATTGCCCTATTAAATAAAATCTCACTGTATAGATGGTACAAGCATTTCTCCACCCTCATTAGATTTTAGGGCGGCAAGCACCAACCATTTTTGGGCGCCGACTTTCTCAGAAAACGTGTTAGATATACCTTCATGATTGAGCAAGCGTCATTCTCTCTGTGTGCCGATAATATTCGTTCCGCGCGACTACTGTTAAGAGCTTACCATACCGCACTTTTTACTTCATCAATTTGGGGAACTATCTGGGATAGGTGAACTCTCCCGTCCTTCAAACAACCTGGAGTACGAAAGACAGTTACGTAGCTCCGGGGCATGGAAAAGCCTCAACCCAATCTACACCTAAGTTGCTGAAATATGGAGGCTTCCTGGTGCGCTTGGAGTCTACTGAACGAAAGACGAAAGTGGTGAGTCAACTTCTCCGGGAAAAATTTTGACAGGGACGTTGAAGTCGGCCCAACAATCCTTTAGGAAACTGTTCTCAGATTGAAGTGTTACAACAGACAAAAAGGGGCGGCTATTATTCTGCAAAGATAGGACTTTCAAGAATTAATTTTTGGCCCCTCTGATCCCCAAGAAAAACAGAAAGCCCCTCACTATCCTGACTATTTTCGGAGAACTCCCTTGTAGAAGACAGCTTGCCAACAATGTGCTCCCGTTTCTAACCCCATGTGACAGCCAATCCCCATATTTATCCTTCTTGACCAGGTGAACGGAAGCCTTCTTGTTTTACTGACCTATTTTGATAACTCTTACGGACTTTGGTCGGACATTGTGATTTTTGCGGTTGCTCACCTTCGATATCTGTTTGGTTGTGACGATACCGATTTTGAGGCGAAGTGATCTGCGTTTATCCTCAGGCTGGTAATTGTACCGCCTTATTTTGTAACCGTACGGTATCTGCAGAGAAGAATCCGTTGAATATGTATGTTGAATGTGTATATTATTATATTTTCAACAGAACCGTGATTCCAGAATTCGGATTTCTTGGTCGTTTTCCTGGATTGGCACGCGTGACTCAAACTCAGAAAGCAGATAGGCGTAAGAGTACTCAACGGATTCTACGGAGACAGCACTCAACGGAGTACGGATCTAGTACACAACGATCTACGGACGCAGTACTGAACGATCTACAAACTCGGAGAAGACGGAGAAAGCCCCATCAGTGGATCTCTATCTACCGGAGGGATTCGAAACCAGTCGGCCCTTCTGGCAATCCTTTAGCTATTGGTTCATCTCCTGGCTCTGACTAATCTAAGCATAAAAAATTAAAGTTAGCTGCGTTATTGCGAGCGCAGATTAAGGCAGAGGAATTGGAGAAAGTATTGCAGCTTACGCAGGCGCGTAATGAGGTGCGTTTAGCGGGGTTAGAGCTGGATTCGGATGGTGATTCCGTCGTTGACGTGCAGGTTGGCCCGCAGGGTAAGGTAAAGGATTACCCAGCTGGGATTGTAAGTAGTACACCCATATGTGAAGCATATATGTGAGGCACCAGCGGTCCAACCGACTTCTTGCGTGGTTAAGGCAGACCTACCTAGAGTGGACTTAGAGGCTTTCGATGGCAACCCAAGGTGTCATTGGAAATTTATTCAACAGTTCAAATACTACATAGAGGATAGAATGCAAGATAGTAGACGAAGGATGCTATATCTGATTCATTACTGCAGGGGTCCAGCGAGGGAAACAGTGGCTGAATGCGTAATGTTGCCTTCGGAGATTGCTTATGGTCGAACGAGAGAAATACGTAAGGATCTCTTTGGGAGGGAATATATGGTGGCCAGAGCCATACTGAACAATCTGTTCAAGAAATTGAAACCGGTGCATGACCATGCAGATTCACTATCTCGCTTATCGATAAATCTTTAAAACTGTCACGTTTCTCTAAGACAGATGAATCATACAAGCGACATGAATTCCGTCTCGAACATAGAGCGTATTCTCCGTACGTTATCGAAGGAAGCTCGTCGGAACTGGGCAAGGTTGGTTGACTCTATGGACAACCTTGGAAAGCAGATGGGTTTCTCTGACCTGTGCAACTTCGTTG